TCGAAGACCTGAGAAGGGAGATAGTATTACTTGAGTAGGCAGAAAGTGCAATCAAGCAGCTTTCAAAATATGCAGTAGATGACAGAAACAACTGGCCACCTGGGCAATCACCCAAAGTCTCATTTGCAATGCTGGAGCAACCAACTTTGGCTAAGGCCTACAGTAACTGACAGGCCATTTCAAAGGCAGGAAAGTTGTCAAGACTTACCCTTTCTTAACAAGATTTGGCAGCCTTTTTTCTTGTATCCTGCTTGTCCAGTTCGGACACCGTGTATTTTGTTAGTGGTCGAGGCATGAGCAGTTTCTTGCCCAAAGGCCAGTTTTTCCAAGAAGAAAATAAGCTTGAAATGGAGTGTCTTCAGTGCTCAACATTCTCTCGGGAGTAGATTGGTGTTGCCAGGAGTAATTGTGTCTCACATCCACAGAACCCTAAGTTATTTAAATGCTATATTCTATAGTTCTTTGAAGTGGTTGAAGATTACCTATCTTTATGGAATACAATTTCTATGTTTCTAAAGAACCTGATTAGTCTAACTATAAGTATGACAAACATGGATGACTAGTGACCTATAATTCTTAATACCCATATAGCTTAAAGACTAAAACTTCATATTAGAATATTAAACAATCTTTAAACAACTGTGCAGCAAATGAGGACAATGACTTCAAAATGTGAACAATGCATAAGTATCTTGATCAGAGGTAGAAATGTATAGTGCAATATGATAAATATATCCTAAAATTGTATCAATGTACAAAATGTCTTAAGTAGAGGTAGAAGCATGCATACAATCTGACAAAATTACTTTGCATAGGTGTATAAATACTTTTCTGGTGTGGTGTTTTTAAATGTTTACTTATTTGTGTCTTTGATTCATAAGGGAATCTTATAGAGAAGTGACTCCCAGCAGGGGCTGACATGAGAATTGCCAAGGAAGAATGAAAAGTAAAAAAAAAAAAAAAAAAAAGACATTTCACAGAGATTCTATTCTAGACTAGAATCTTTTGACTTGAGGGGTGGAGGAGCACAGGCACCAAGAATTTGTAAAAATCCCCAATGCTCAATATTTATGGATTAATGTGTAAAGATGGAGGAGCCAGGGCTGACACACAAAGATGGAGGAGCCAGGGCTGACGCACAAGGACTACTGACCTCTTAAGACATTTGAAAGTTTCCTGAGAACTCTAAATGTCTGAGACCTCTCCCCGTGCCCAGGAAGGACTGCTACATTCTAAGGAATGTAGGGTTATGTTATGGTTAGGGTTAGGTTTTGGGTTAGGGTTAGTAAGTTAACTTCCTTAGTTATGTTAAGGAGCTCTGTGTTCCACATATACTGCAGGACAGTTCATTCAGTTTTTTAAAAACAGCGTTTCACCAAAAGAATAGGCTGGGACCGTCAGGTTCTAAGTTGTAAGAACCATAATAAGAAGGATATAGTAAGAACCATGAGGTACACCATTTCGGTATAAACACATGGATAGTGACATCATTTCCATATAAACAAATGGGTAGTGACAATGACTATCACCTGACATAGCAAATTAAAATAAAACCCTTGACCCGCTCTACTAGCTTCCTATTTTATTTCTTTTCTACTCTAGACAGACACGCCTATGTCCGTGACCTTCCCGTAGCACACTCATCAGCACCTTCCTGTCTGCAATGCCCTTCTTTTTTTTTTTACACCTCCACCTCCAAAGTAGGTATTGAAACTCTCCTACCAGAAACATTTAAAAGGTGGAGACTTCTGCTCACTGTTCTCCACATACTACGGCATGGCGTTGGGCTTCCATATCATTAGCGTGAAAGAATAAGACACCGTCCCAGAGACAGGTGCACCAGATTAGAACTCAGACCAGGGCGCCCCCGAACTCATGTAGCAGTCATAGCTACACTTGACAGGATTTGCTGATTGATTGTTAAAGAGATGGAACCGTCAAGAGCAAATATGATTGCATCTTAACGTTTATTCCCCGTGGTGTTTAAGATAGTGTCCTGGCATAAAACAGATGTTCATTAAATATTAGTGTCCCACTTCATTAGATGTAAACCTACTTTGCTTCCTTTCCTTCTTCTAGAATGTAGGATGGTATCTCACAACGCCCCTACCTCCAGGGGGAAGACGAACATCCTGGCTGTTACGATGTTTACCAGCTTCTCCTAAACAGACTTTTCAGGTAAAGTTTGGTTTAGGTGTTCTGGTATGTTCAGTTTACCACCATGCATCAGGAGCTTCGAGTCTATCAGGCGCCCACACATCACATCACAGCCACCCTAGATTTAGCTGTGGCCATGTAAGCAGATGCATGGATTCCAGGTACAAGGAAAATTAAGTACATTTCCAGAATTGGCCTTAGAATAGTCGAGTCTACGGGTGAGACGAGGGAAGAGAGCTGCGGCTGAACTGTCATTGAAATCGTGGAGACACTAGATGAAAGGTGCCTGGTCCCTTTCAGGAATGCAAAGAGCAGAACCTCCTCCTCCTGGTCTCAACCAACTCCCAGCACTTTGCAAACGGTATGAAAAGGCCTTTCCCTTTACCAGTCCAGGCACTGAGATGTCGTCAGTTCACACTAATTAGCGCTTGTCAAGGTGTGTAAGTGAGAAGCCCTGAGCCTGCGCGGGGGCTGAGGCCGAACATTCTGGTCCTATCAAGCCCACACATCCAGTGAGCCGCTGGTAGAATGTGAGCCTTGGTATCCTCCCCTTCTGCTCCTCCGCTCATTTCCGGAGTCTCCAACCGCCCTCCCAGACACAATCACTTGCCTTCGCTCCTAGTTCAGGGTAGATTTTTAAAAACAAATCACATTATAGTTTATGGCAAATAGCCATTGACGCAAGCCTCCCCTGACAGTTCTTTGATTTCCAACATATATTTACAACGAATGACATTTAACAGCGAGTTACTGCCTATTAAAGGAATACCTGTCGCATACGCTCTGCCTTGAGTCATTTCTTCTCTAAATCCAAGCGGTAAGATTTTGCAGAATGATTTTGATAATGTTTGATAAAACATTGTGACATTTACTAGCTGGTTCTACCATTATCTGTTTTGTAGGCCTTTCTGGTCTTCGCCAGTCACTTTCCTCTTAATGCTTTAAGGTGGAAATGCCCAGAAGAAATGTAGCGCAGGTCACACTTGTAATGTGCGAAATTAACATATTTAACTAACGTAGCTTAATTATTGCATTTTTTTTTAAAAAAACTAAATCTTCTAAATGTGGTGTGCACGCTGGCAACCCATGTATCTTCAGAACCGAAGACCATGCAGCGGCACAGCCCCCTTCATACAGCACCATCTTGGTGGAACCAAAAGGCTTCCTTCGGAGTCCACAGTCCTCGGTGCTCTCTCTGGTCGGCCTTGGCTGTCGCGAGGGCAAGGCAGAGGGAACCAGCCCTCTTGGCCAACCGGGCGCTGTGGGTGGTCGGAGGCACCGGCTGTGGGCGGGACCCCGGAGCAGCGCGCCCCGGGGCTGCGGCGACCCGACCACGGGTCCAGTTGTCCCCTCCGCCCGCGCCCACCCCCGCCCGCACCAAGGAGCCCCGGAAGCGGCGGGATTTCCTGTGCCCGCCCCGCGCTGGCCGCCGTCGCCTGTCGCTGGCTGTGCGGGCCGCGGGCTCGGCCGCGCCAGGCGGGAGGCAGCACCAAGGGCCCGAGCCGGGGTGAGTGTGGCCGGGACGCGGGCGGGCGAAGAGGGAGGGAGCCGGCCTGGCAGTGGGGACGGTGGCCTCGATGCTGCGTGCCCGGTCCCACTGCTGTCACTCGCGCGGACGCCCGCGGCACCCTTTCTCCCACGTTGCTATAGCCCCGGCTCGAGGGAACCTGTTTTCTGGCCCCGCTTTGCCCGATCCGGTTTTGTCGCGCCCCGAGTCTTCTGAAATCTGACCCTCCCCGGGGTGCTGTGATCCGGAGAGAAGAAACCTTACTCGCTGCAGGCTCGGGGCCCGGGCCGTGCCACACCCGCGGCGGGGCTACTAGAGTCACTCAACGTCCCTGTGCCCTTGGGCCCCTCTTTGATACCAGGGCCCATTCTCATCCAACAACAGAACTCGCTGGGAAAAAAAAAAAAAAAAAAAAAAAAAAAAAAAAAAAAAAAAAAAAAAAAAAAAAAAAAAAAAAAAAAAAAAAAAAAAAAAAAAAAAAAAAAAAAAAAAAAAAAAAAAAAAAACTTTCTGCAGATGCCCAGCCTCCCAGGTACATAAGCAGACAACAGGAAGGAAAGCCCAAGAACCTATGCTCCGACCGGCTTGGGATCATCCTGAACTAGGGAAAGGAAGGAGAGAAAGCAGGTTCATTCTGCAGCTCAGGTGCTGGCTCTGCCATGATCTCCTTAGGGAATGCAGGGAGGTGACAGTTATCCACTCCCCACTCCTTCCTTTGCTCGGGTTTTGCCAGCATTTTCAAAGGTTTTTCTGTCGTCGTCCAGCAGGCCCAGTGGGCTCTTCAGAAAGGCTTCCGTGCGTGGGAGGACCTTTCTGCCGAGGACATGAAGGGAAATGAGTTGGAGGCAGGTGTCCAGGTGCTAGGCTGGACTTGAAATGTGCTGAGAACTTGCGCAGACAGTCAGAAACAAGGATGGCTTATGGAGAAGAAGGGCGATCGGTGCCCTGCGCATTTAAAAGTGAGACAGACACGGGGGCTGAAATTCAGAGGAGAGCTATAATTGAAGTTTCCCCTTAGTACGCGTTACTCTTTTCCTTTCCCATGAGAAGTCTCTGAAAGAGAGACCACGTAAACTGGGTATTAGTTCAAGATGCATACATGAGGATCTTTGGGTTTCAAAGATGAAAGAGAAATTTGTTTTTCCTGTATACTGTGCTTAGAAATTTTTGTCAAAGAAAAATAGGCAAGAAAGTAAGCCGCTTGAGGTCTACTGTAGCCTTCAATTCACGTATCGAATGATCACGTGATAGCCAAAGTAGCTACCGAAATTCTGACCTGTTCTTGGGAGATTTTTGGCGACCCTGTTTATTTGGGTATTGTATAAGAATCACAAAAATATATTGTCAAGCAGAAAGTCATTCTCAAATGGGACCTGTCTTGTTCTATAAATGTCCAAAGAGGAGTGCAGACTTGATCGTATGCTTTGTAAGACTGATTCTTTAAAAACAAAACAAAACAACAACAACAACAACAACAAAACTAACCTAAATCTCTTTCTTGGGTCCAGAACCCGTTCCTTCTGTTTGATACATACAGATGTTTACAGCTGGTGTGGCTGCTCAGCCTTCTGTGCTTGACAAGCAAAAGTGGTGTCCATTTCCACTGACGGTGTGTGCTGTCCCTTTCTTGACTTGAATTTCTTCCAATGAGCAAATCCTGCCTTCTCCATACCATTCTTGAATGTATATAATGCATTGTGATTGGTGCCTGTCAAGCAAGTGTATCTTGTATTTCAGACCATGGGGCTGTTGATTCCCCCAAAGTTTGTGTTAATAACACACCTTCCCTGGTTTCCATATCTTGTCCAAGGTCTGTTCTTTTCTGCTTTCTCCAGTTACTTCAGCTCCTCACTGACCTGCAGTTTCTCTCATCAGTTAGGGCCGTGTTGGGTATTTATACCTCAGCTATAGGCTCCGGGATCCTGGTTTTTCTGCTATGCTTGTATCACTGTTCATTTCCTACATATGAGTGATAGGTCACATGTCCCTTTGCTGAGGCTTTTCTTACAGGAGACGCTTTCTGAACAGGTGCTCATGACAGGTCACACCCCTGGGTGGGACGTCTAAATCAGTTGATGAGGTTGCCGTTTGTGGCATAAAATCTCTGGGTCTGCTCATTCCCATCTTTGTGGAATGCATTCCTTCCTGCATTTCCCCCACATCCACTGCACTTTGGATGGTAGAAATGCAACGGATAGCCTCTGGGTTTTCGGGATTTTTCTTTTATTTTCAAGTGAAGTTCTTGTGGTCCTCAGGGATGTACTCTTTATAGCACGAGGTCTCCAAAATGGCAGCGCCTTGACTGTGTGGCGCTGGTCAGTTCCTTAGTTCCTTCAGAAAAGTTTTGACTCAACGTCATGCTTTGTGAGTTTGTCTCCTGTTGGGCACCTCTCACTGTCATCCTCAGCCTTCTCTGAAATGGCTTTGGTATGCCCTTCCCCCCCTTCTGTAGTTGCTTTTGGCATGTTCCAGGTCACGGTCTGTGCTTGCCGCAGAAATGCTTTCTGAACAGCCTGCAGCCCTGGGAGCAGGATGGGAGTCGACAAATGTACATCTGGATGGAGCAGAGCCCCAGATGGAGAGAGGAAACCAGGAAGAGGGCCCATGGAGAACAGCACCAGGGGCGCTGGAGCACCTTCACTGTGACCTTGAAGAGGAGCCACTGTCCCTTCAGGAGAAGTGTGAGGACATGCAGGATGCTTTGGAATCACTACAAGTCTTCTGGTCTCTGCTCAAAAAGTAGTGTTAGAAATTCCCGACCTGGCTGGATGCAGTTGCTCACACTTGTAATCTCATTACTTGCCACGAGTTCCAGGGTTACAGGCCAGCCTGGGTTATGTCTCAAGCAACAGTTAACTCTAAGGGCCATGGACTGAAGGACACACCTAATACCAGATCCGGCCTGTTTTTTCCTGGACCCTGCTGTCCAGTACACAGTGGGGCCCTGCATTTCCCTAACTGTGCCAATGGGCTTATTCTGTTTCTCCCATAGTTCTTCCTCCTACATGCAAGTGCATAGTTAATGGTATTGGATGTGGGAGACACAGGAAATGCTAGAGACTCATGATTATTGTAGAGCATGGTCAATAATATGTAGGATACTTGATAAGAATCCATTCATGCTATGCCTCTTCCAATTCAATGTCATTAAATCCTTACAGAACATGTTGAGTGAAGGCCTCTACATTTAAATGTATACATTTGAGTTTTTACCAGGGAACATAGATTGAGAAGGAAAATGGGCCCCAGTGCATGCTGGGACAGATTTTTTTTTTTTTTTATCTCTAACAGCTCCTCTCTCCCCTTATCAGCTCAGTCTGCTCCCTGTGCTCCAGCAGTTCCTCAGGAGGGCAACACTGCAGACTGGGAAATGGCAGCCGCACTTCTTGCAGCTGGATCCCAGGTGAGTTCTTTCCCCACCCTGTCTTCTCCCAAGGTCACTGCAGTTGCCTTTCTATAGCTTTGGCATCATCCCGTTGGCTGGTTAGTTCCCATGAGCACTAATGGTATGCATATAGCCGAGTAGATTCTGTTTCTAAGGGATGTAAATTGGTTTTTAATGTTTTCTGTGGGATGGGATGAGGAGTTCAGAATAACTAATTGGATTCTTTGGGGGAAGAAAATCTGTAATCAGGTATGATGGTGCCCAGCAGTAATTCCAGTCACTAGGGAGACTGAGGCACAAGTGTTGCCCGAGCCCAAGAATTTTGGGCCAGTCTGTGTAGCATGGTCAGCCCTTATCTCAAAAATAAAATTAAAAAAAAGAAAAAATCCTGGAAGAAGTGAGAAAAGAGGGTCCGGGGAAAGCTTGGAAAGCACAAAGCAGAGGGGTGTGTAGATCTTACAGCTTTTAGGAAAGAGAAGAGAAAGAAGAAGCAGGAAGAGAGCACAAGTCTAAAGACCAACCAGGAAAGACAGCAGCATCGCTAATAGCAACAAGTGCAGAAAGCTTATCACGTGCATTCTTTCCTGTGCACCTTGTATATGTTGTGTAATATGGGAGCCATGCAATCATCCCATTTTATTGTGGGAACGTTGGGGCAGAGAGAGATGGAGGAATTTGGATAATACCACTAAGATACAGTAGAGCTAACAGTCATTTGGCTCCAGATTTTGGGCTTACCCATGTACCGTAGCACCTGATGGGGCATCATAGCATACTAGGGGAGCCAGCGTGTTTTGTTCATGTCATGTTGTGTTGACAGAGAAGGGAAGGTCGAGTGGAGGAAGGAGGCTGTAATACAGTCTGCAAGAAAGGATGAGGAGGTAAGAGGAGACTTAGTAGACACCTATAGTTAAAGAGGGAGTGATGCCTTTGTCATGGATCTGACTTCTCACGGTCTCACACGGGAACCTCGTCTAGTGAATTATCCTCACTCACTCCTTGATCTTGTTTCTTTACTCTTTTTCTCTTTACCAAAGCCATGGGTCTTGCCTACTGACCTGTTGGCAGTTCTCTAGCTGGGTCCTCTCTCGCCCTCCTTCCTGGACTATCTCAGCCCTTCATAGTAAGATCGTATTTTCCATCAGAGCAACTGCTGACAGACAACCTCTGTGTTTGTTTCAGGGACTGGTAACCATCAAGGATGTGTCATTGAGCTTCTCCCAGGAGGAGTGGCGGAGCCTGGATCCTTCGCAGACAGACTTTTATGGAGAATATGTCATGCAGGAAAACTGTGGGATTGTCGTCTCTCTGAGTAAGCAGGACATTCTGCATCCTGAAAGGCTCTCCTGGGAGGGTGGGATCACCTGAGGGCTGTTGGATAGTGCCTGCCTAGGAGGCTTTCGCTGGCAGGGACTCTGTCTAGGTAGACTTCCACCAAAGAAAGAATGTTGGAGATCAGCCTGAAAAAGTTGAAGCAAGGGATCTTTTTGTACATAATGGCAAATTACGGAGGGAATAATTGAAGCTCATCTTGGTTGGGAATTTGAGACTTCTTAGAGAGCAGAGACAGGGACACCTGGAGCTAGATCCCTGGGACCTGGAGCGCCCCCCTGGGAAGGTAAGGGTACTGCAGTGGAATTGACAGTGAATCTGAGGTACAGTCATGGCCAGAAGGATATGGCCTAGGAGGAAGTGAGTGGAAGACAAACTGGTTCCTTGGGAAAGAGCTTGTGGTTTTCTAGAAAAAGAAAGAAAGACTAACAGAAGTGACTGGAGGCTTCTGCCCAACTCTTCAGTCCTGGCATCCCAAGGAGGAATCTAGGGAACGGTTTTGTTCATTGATATAGAATTGCTGTTGAAGTAAGCTGGTGTGTGTCTGTTTCCTTTTCTCGTGGGCAGGGTTTCCTATTCCCAAACTGGACATGCTTTCTCAGCCAGACGGAGGAGGAGAGCAGTGGGTACCTGACCCCCAGGACTTAGAAGGGAGGGATATCCTGAAGGTCACATATACAGGTGAGGACCCAGAAACCCTCTCTTGTGGTATCGTCTTTACTGTGTCGCTAACCAAAAAGCTCAGAACTCTTATATTTCCAAAAGCAAGGCTGGGGTGCAGAAGGCATGCAAGGCAGACTCTGAAGTCAGGCTGTGTGGGCTTGGATCAGAGGTCATACCTGTGAGACCTCCTTTATAAGTTATTACAGCTAGCTATGCTAACACGTGATTGCAGAAGAGCATCAAAACGTAATAGTCAACTGATAAGAGTCGTTATTGATGCTGTAGGTCAGCGTCCATGTCACTGCAGAGATAGATGTCTTCTAAATGGATCTACTGATGCTGACAGCTGGTGAATTAACCAGCGACGACTGCAGCTCATTCCTTCCCTCTCTGTCTAGATGGAGGTGTGAAGATGGGGCTGGTAGCGATGAACAGTAGTAAATACGAAATGATGGTAGAAAAATAATAATGAGAGTATTTATCACTTACTGAGTGCATACCAAGAGTGGATATAATTATCCTGAAAAGAAGGATTCTAGTCTTACTGGGAGAGAGAGAAGCACACACACACACACACACACACACAGGGGGGCGTTCCTGTTTTATGGACGAAATGAAGACTTACAAGGTAAGGAGTCCCAGATGAAAACTTGACTCATTTCTTGTCAAGACTAGGCTCTTGAACATCCCTGTAGCGACTGCACAACCTTGTGATTTCACAAGTGCTCTTCCAGCCCCTCTGGGATAACATTTGGCACCATACAAATTTCCCTGGGACTGAGTGCTGGGATAGCATCTTCGGACTCTCCTTCTAAGAGCGGTATTCTTCCTTCCCCATAGGAGATGGGAGCGAGCATGAAGGTGACACTCCTGAAATAGAGCCGGAACCTTCCAGGGTGTTATCCAGTGTATCTGAAGATACTGTCCCCTGGAATCCAGGGCAGGCTCGGAGCTGGGAGTCCATGCCTAGGGGCCCCAGAGACATGCTCCTAAGCCCACCCTTTCTTCGGGAAGACAGCTTCTCAAGCCTTCTGGGTAGTGCTGAGATGGACTCTCTCTTAAAGCCCCATACGTGCCCTCAGTGTGGGAAACGGTTTGTGTGGGGCTCCCATCTCGCCAGACATCAGCAAACACACACTGGGGAGAGGCCCTACAGCTGCCTCAAGTGTGAGAAAAGCTTCGGGAGAAGGCATCACCTGATTAGGCACCAGAAAACCCATCTACGTGACAAGCCAAGCAGGTGTTCTGAGTGTGGCAAGAATTTTCGATGCAACTCCCATCTGGCCAGCCACCAAAGAGTACATGCGGAGGGCAAATCCTACAAGGGCCAGGAGATCGGAGAGAGTCCCGGGAATGGGAAACAGCAGCTTGCCCCACCGGTGCCAAAGTGCCATGTGTGCACTGAATGCGGGAAGAGCTTTGGCCGAAGGCACCACCTCGTAAGACACTGGCTGACCCATACTGGGGAGAAGCCCTTCCATTGCCCTCGCTGTGAGAAGAGCTTTGGCCGCAAGCACCACCTGGACAGGCACCTGCTGACCCACCAGGGACAGAGTCCTGGGAGCAGCTGGGACACAGGGACATCTGCCTTTTGAAATCTGTGTTTTCTGTAGCTATGGTCAAACCTCTCAGCCGGTTCTATCAGCAGCCACTGCCAGAGATGCCCCTCTCCTGGACCCTGATGGCCAGAGCATTTCTTACCAGTTCAAATGAAAACAGAGTTTTTTGGACAAAATTTTGGGAAACAGTGCAAAAATCTGTGTGTGATTATTCAGCTTGAACCCACTGCCAAGAAAACAGTGGAACCAGTAGTGATGGGTGAGGTTCGTTCTCATTGGTTAAAGTCTATGTTGGAGTCTTAATATTCATACATCACCCTTGTGTGCTGATTATTTTATATCCCCTTTAAAGAGGGGATATAAAGTGAAAGGGGCCATGTCAGTATATCAAGGGCCCTGAGAACTACTGCAGTCAAATTAGTGTCTATTAATGCAATGTTTCCTAAATTTGTTTGGCCTCAGGATCTATTTCAGATTCCCACAGAACTGGTGACCCTGTGAAATGTATTTCTGTCATCACTGGGTTAAAAGGCGACGAGGAAGCAAGAAAGAAACAGTGACCAGACACTCAGAACCCCGGTGTTGATCTATGAAAGCATGGGGCCAGACATTGTTGTATAGGTCTATCATCCTTCCCCATCATTACACGTGCCTCTCACCTTTACCTCTGAAAAACAGAGTGGCCTTTCACTTTCTATTCTATTCT